TCTAGGGTCTACAGCACTCATCATCAGATGACAAACTTTTTACAAGTTCATTATTTAAGGTCCTTTTGTTTCTTTAAATTCCAACAATTACTCAAGTGGGATGGACAGAGAACTTCAAAGTCAAAAGGCTTCTTGGTCATAAACCACAAAGGCTCTCAAAGAGATTCTTCTGGTAAATCCACGGGGAGGGAAAGTTTCCTTTTTCAAAGTGGCCACAAGCTGGGAAGCTCAAGCCCAGGGATAGTATTTCCTAGAGAGAATGAAGCTATCAGGAATGGGCTAGGACTCTACTTTCTGTCTCTGGCACTATATTTTGATGAGCCTGTAACCTGCTCTGCATCTCGACTTCCCCATCTGCAGAACTGGAAAATCTTTCTTGTGCTGTAAGCCTGACCATTCAATATGGTTTGCCCAGATCCCCAGGAGATGTTTTATCCACAGCAAATGAAATGATTTTTCATATTCCCACCATGTTCCATCAAGACCAGAGGATGATCTTACCCACAGGATTGCTTATAACATATTCACCAAAGCTGAGCAAAGGGGCAGCAKTGCCCACCAGGAGCGAGGAGGAGTTGTGTCTTAGCTCCAGCTTAGAATTTCCACAAGATGATGGTGTATGGCATAAAGCTTCCTCAGGCTCAGTTTTTCTTTCTGTAAAACAAATGAGAGATATCCACCTGCCAAGGGGGTAGCATTTGCTCTCCTGCCCCTCCAAATCCCACAGCACACACTAGCCCCCAGAAAGGAGGAGTTGGGACTGCCCTGTTTCACGGTAGTTTCTGGGCACAGAACACCCCATTTAATCTGAAAAAAAAAAAATACCTGATGTAAAACTGAGCTTCCTATCCTGGAAAAAGGCTATTGGAGCTGCCCTGGTAAGGCTGCGTGGCAGTACTGTGGCATCACATCTCTGTCCTCATAGGATATGGGCTGCAAACTGACTCTGCTTAGAGAGAACATTAACTACACCTCTTTATTATTGAGAAGAAATTTATTGGAGACATCCCTCCCTCTCTCCAGCTTCTCCTTTACCTTCGTGGAAAAGTAAACATTTAATTTTTTTTGTTGTTAATAGATTTAATGTTCATTTGTCGGTAGCCTAGGGGCAGGAACGCGTGACATTTCAAATAATTGTTGTTTCGGGGGTATCCTCTGGAGGAAAATGCTGCAAAAGTGTGGAGAAGATTTAAGTAAATTACTGTGTCAGCTTCTATTTATTCCTTACATGATTGCCAGAGGCAGGGCTGCGAGATAACCATTAGAGGCCCAGCCATAAAACAGGGAAGCAGAATTTCAAAAAGCCAGAGTGCCATTACTGGAAAGTTAGTGTGTAACATGTTAAATTATCCCCAAAGTAGGGGGAGGCAGGAGGGGGAGAGACACATGTCTAAGAGAAAAGAAAAAGGGAAAGGGAGACTGTATAAGTAAAAAAAAAAAAAAAAAAAAAAAAAAAAAATCATTCAAAAAAAAAAAAAAAGAAGAAAAAAATGACAGATAGACAGATAAACAGAAGGAGGAACGGAGGCTAGGGCTTGACCTAAGGCATTCAGTCCTGCAATCCAGCTCTGAGAGCCTGCTATGGTGCTAGAGGTTGGGTGTTTGAGTGGGCTTTTGGGGTTGAGAGACTTGTTTGAGGCTGTGGCTATGGGATGACTCAAGAAGAACAGCTGGGCACATTTTAGACCCGTGTCAAAGCTATGAGACAACTGAGTTGGAGTGAAATTGCTCCTCTTCCAGAAGGGGTGACAGACCAGGCAAATTCAGTCTGCCTCTGTGTACACAGCAAGCAGCTGGGGCCCAGTTCTATCCAACTTTGGGGCCCACACAATCCTGAGGTTGAACAAGAGGTTCTAAAGAGGCTTCAATCTTTTCCCCGGTGAGGCTTCTTGACTCTTTTTGTTCCTTTACTTTCTACTAACCATAAAAAAAAAAAAACCATGGTTTGTTTCCTTCAAGACCCCCTGCTTCTGCTCCAAAAGCCTATCGCCATCCTAGTGAAGCACAGCCAGCCTCATGCTATCCCCCATCAGATCCTTTTCATCTCCTCTTGACATTTGCTCAACATTTTGCTCAAAGGACCAGAGAAAGGCAGAGGCACTCCAGCTCTGCTCAAGTTCACAGACACGATGCTGCAGGATGATGCTGAGGCTGAAAGTTAGCATATCTTGAGGAGAGAAGGAAAGATCATCTCTGAGGAATGGGAGATGCTCAGGTTCTCATAGCTAGGCTAAGGAAAAGGGGTAGAGACCAGCTCATTCACCTTTGGGGGCGGGTTGAGATCCCATGGAGCAGAAGGCAGGTCATACCTGTCACGTGCAGGAGTTTTGCTAAAGCATCTAACAAAGCAGGAACCAGCCACAGTGGCTGTTTGGTGCAGCCAGGCCTGGCATTTCCAGTGCCTGCACAGCTCAGCCATCCCTCAGTTCCCTGCACCAGGACTCCTGGTCCTGCCCCTCCTGTGGATGGGTAGAAGCCAATCCCCACCTGCCCAGCACCAGCCTCCCCATCAGCCTTCCTCATTCAGCCTTTCTCAACTCCTGTTTATTATTCATGCTCTACAGCTCCACACTGTCATCTGACCCATTGCCCAGAAGCTGCCTGGCTCCCCCTCTCTTTTGCTGTAATTTATTTACAACATGAAAAACAATTAAGTTCCAAAAAGTCTTTTATTTATCCCAGAAATCTGGTTTTATCTTCTCTAGCATCACTCTCCATTTGTTCCTGCTACTGCTTCATTTTTCCTCAGTCTGTTGTCCAAGGCAAGTTCAGCAGTGCAGGAATGGAGAGGGTAACAAACTTGGGATGAGGGTCCTGCAGCCCCAGCCTCTCTCAGCCAAGAGCTCTGTTCCCACCTTCTCTCCAAGAGGACAAGAGTCCAAACACTTCCTCAACAATAAATAACCAGGGAGATTTTTTTTTTTCTTAATTTTAACGACTCGCAAGGAAGACTTGCTGGTTAAATCATTGCTAACTCTCAACCTCCTCAATATTTCTTTGCTAATAGACTTCAGGTTTAATTGAAGGATCTTCTCTGGACTCTGTCTAAGGCACCATTTTCTCTTTAACCCCACCGCTCACAGCCTCACAAAAGCCAATCCATTAAGGGTCTTCATTAGTTTGAGCACCAGCCAACCACCCAAGCGGCAAAGGTCAAACACAGTCACCTGTCACAACATGGCAGTAAAACTACTAATTGTATGGGAACAAATGAGATAAAAAGATGGTACTATTATGCTATTTGATTTATTTTGTTTCCAAAGAGTCATTTAAGTCTAATTTACTTTGCAAGCTATAGAGTAGCCTGTGTGGATACAGATACTCATGTGAAAAGATGTAGGCGTGCACATGTGCACGTGCATGTATTTCTCACATATGTATATACACTTACACATAGGGGCCAAAATGCAAGTCTAGGTAACAATGAAGTCAGGGCACCATAAAGGCTTACATTTAACTCTTCACACGTGCAGAACTCCTTGTCACACTGTAATGGCTCTGCAGCAGTGACACGGACCCACATCAGCCCCCCTGCTGCCAGCTCCTGCCCAGGCATCTTGCCTCCACATCCCAACTGCAGTGTCACAGGCTGAGGGAGTCAGCGCAGGGTCCCGCTCTGGAAGGGGATGTGCCTGGGAAGCCTTTCTGTTTCCATTTCYTTTTTTTTTAAGCTGAGGAAGAGAAAGTGGCCCACGTGCCCTCTGGTGGACAAATGCCATTTTGCAGCTCTTGGATCCAAATGGAAAGCTGGAAGTGGCCATATTGGTAGGCACGGGAAGAAGTCGTCTCCCTGAGATGTTTTTAAAAGCCTGCTTTTTCTCCAGCACGTTCTGGAAGTCAGGAGCTCTTAGCATATATCTGTGGCTGCCAACTGAAAAAGAAAACCCTTGGCTTTCTAAACYACACAAATCGCTATGTAGCCTGCCTTCATCATAGACACCAAATCAATAAGTCCATCTACAACAACAGTTGCTTTAACCAAACAAGGGCTACATTTTACTAGAAGACACAAACAATGTTTTTTCTGGAAAGAAGTAGTTATTTCTCAAAAAGAAAACCCAATCCCAGGTCACTATGCATATTTTTTTTTTTTAAGAGACTTAACTATGACTAACTTTAGTATTGAAAATAGATGACCAAGAATTTTTTGAGTGGAGATGGAATATTGTGGGGCATTCCAAGGAACAGACCTCTTGATGTTAATGCAGTGAGAACACTGTCTTGGTTGCGCTGTGGTTAGGATCAACTCTCTTCCAGAGCTAATAGAAAAGAGTCTCTTACAACATGCAAATGCTGGGAGATGTTACCATCTCATAGCAATGAAATAGCTTCCTCCTACCCATTTAACAGTGTGGTATGATACATTGTCAGTCTTTACGAGTAGAATTGTTGGGAAAGTGGGAATATTTCCAAGAAGACAACAAATAAACATAATTCTGCTTCTCTTCGATGTTTTTCAGCCATCTCTGTTCATCAGGGAGTCATGCAGATCATCACAATCAATATTTCCTATTATGCATTGCATAACCAATAAATACTCACATTCAAAAAGGAAAAATGTTCACTAGAAACATTTTAGAGTATTACAAAGACCATTTTTAAATGCCTGCTTGCACAGGCAAACACTTTAGTTACTATAAACCCAATTGAACAGAGGCAGAGAAAACGAACATTAAGAATGAAGAATGGGCAGATGGTACCTGTTGAGAACAGCTTGGGAAAGAACCTGAGGAAGCTGAAGGAAGCTCATTGTGTTGTCACCCTCAGTGCACTAAACAAGGATTACACATTGAAAATATAGCTTGGATATTGGTGAGACTAGATGCAGGAGGACATGAGTTCCCTGTCAAGTGGTAAGAGCATTTCTGCAYACTCTCAGATCCCTCCACTGTGATGGCCTGGTACGACTCACCTTTMCAAGCACTGCTGCCCCTCAGGGAAGAGCCTGCTTCCATCAAACGTGGCCATGTTGATTGCAGCAAGAAGACGAGCAAGACTGAGCGTGTTCTTGGCATTCTGGGAGATCGTATGGGGTCTGTGGCACATGAGAAGTAATATATGTCATCCCCTTCCTATTCTGGTGCTACTGGGCTGCAGAGACGCTGTTCTTGTCCTGCCTGCTCCTCCTGTAAACAGGAAGGAACTTGACTGAGGCTCCCTGTGCAGTGGTGAGCATTCAACTTAGCCAATATTACTGCTAGAGACCTGACCCATGTTTCAGCTGTGCTTCTGCTCCTTTTTTTCCTCATCTTCTCTCAGTTTGTCCCTGAATCCTCTCTCCTTGTCCTCCCCCTTTCATTTTGCTCCCATCTCTCTTCCCGATTCCCCTCCTCCAGTGCTGAGAGCAGTCAAACCACACCGCATATATCACACTTACCATCAGCAGTTTACAACATATTGCAGGGCATCCCACCAGTCCAGGCTCACTGGCATTTACCATCCTGGGTGAGAAAAACAGACTCCACCGAGCTTGGGACACACACACACCCTGAAAGAGGGGAAAATGAGAAGTTTTTCCTCTGACAGTGGCCATTTACATGATGTGAATGTATCAAACAAGCTCTAAATGATCTTCAGAACTGGAAGATGGAAGGAGAAAGAAGGAAGATGACAAAAGCATTAAAACACTTTTTCCTTTTTTGCTGTTCAACAAGTACATTTCAACTTGCCTTTTCTACCATCAAAATTAAAAAGAACATAATAAACCCAATAGAGCTTCCTGATATGTTTTCCTCCTTCCCCAGATATTCCCATAATAAAATAGAAGCAGCAGTTCATAGTTCCAGTGGAGTCCAAACTAGTTATTCTGGTGACTAAGTGGAACGGGTCTTCTGATTTACATATATAGACAGATAGATGTGTGTGTRTATATGTATACACACACTGCTGCATACAGCATTACACACCCTATTCTGAAGTGCAAAACCAATTCTGCAATGCCAGAATTAAAACTGCCTTGTGGCATTAATGCCCCTGTACGAGGTGCATTACACTACCAGCTTCAGTTACAAAATCTCCACTGTATTTCCAAGGAAATGATTTCTTAAACTAGAGTTCAGGATGGATGGTATTCCCATAAGTAGCTTTGTCCTTATTTAATTTTCTTTGATCTCTGTTTGGTTCTATACAACACGCCTATTGCTCAAAACCTTCTCTGAAGACAAAACCGTTCATTTCTTTTTCCAAGAGTAGCAGAGTGCATTAGTGACCTGAGCTCACTTATCTTCCAAAATAAGAGTTGTTATTATCACTTTATAGTCAGCATACTGATCCAAAGAGGAATGAAGGTCCAGAGGTATCTGAYTCATTTTGGATGCCCTTTCTGCTTTCAGTGGACCTAGCCCACCATGTACACCTGGCACAGTTCCCACTGAATCCAGCAGTGACACCTATGAATCAGACCTGTACCTCAAGCTGGAGCAGGGAAAAGCATGACCCTAAAAATGAATGAGTTRTTATTAGGGCAAAGCCATTCATCCAACACCTCTTTGGGACTCCCCCTTCCATAACCATGAAATCAGCATTTCTTCACCTGCCAGACCCCGACTCCTTCGCTGCATGCACCCCAACTTCTGCAAGTAAAAAGCTAGAGGTTTTACGGGCCTCCTTCACTCTGCTTCACTCTTCAGCATGTCCAGGTCAAGCAGTGAAGGCGACAGTAATCCTATTTAAAGTGCCTGTAACAAAAGTCTTGTCTATAAGGAATATAGACCCAGCAGAAGTCAGCAGATCTTATCCAGAGTAATGTGGACTGCAACATGAAAAAAAATGCTCTCAATATTATTGTGACTCTTCAGCTTTCTGCTGGGGAAGCAGGGAAGATATTCTTAGTTTACTTTTTTTAAATGTAGGAAATTACATTTCCTCTCCCCACTCTGCCCAACTCCCAAAAGCCTCAAACCAAAAGAAAAAAAAAAGGCACCACACTGTCAAGAATAATTGGCTATGCAAACACAATTTAGGAGGCAGCAGATTTGCAGAAAAGTATCTTGGAGTGAAGATGAATCACATCTATGAGTCAACAGTGTCAAGCTTTTCAGAGGAAAAAAAAGCTACCACACTGGGATCATGAACAGCAGAGTCCTTTGCAACACATGTGAATTATTCTTCCCACTGTAGCCTGTCCCAGAAAGGCCTCCTCCAATGGCTGCTTTCCACATGAGGAAACCCAAGTAAGATGCAAATTTCCTCAGGACTCTTAAGTCCTGAGGAGTGACACAAAAATGATCARACATCTGTGAAGATGAGCTGGGAGGGATGGCTTGAAGAACAGGATTTGCTTTAGTTAAAAGAAACTGCAGCAATTGCAACGCTTAAGTTAGAACTCCAACAAATTTTTAGTTTAGTTAAAATTTTAGTTTGAACACAGGGAAAAATATTAGAGTAACATGTGCTACAATACTTGCCTTAATAGCGGGAGGTGACTTCATTGGAAGTTTCTAAGGACAGATCAAGTAAACATGTCAGAATGGTCTTAGGTAACTGATTTTGTCTTGGGAGCAGAGATACAGACTAGAGATCTCCTGAAATTCCTTCCAGATCAGTCTTTGATCTTGGACACAAAGCTCAGTCCTTACAAAGTTTCAGCGTCCTGATCCAGACTGGGATGCTAGTTCTTTTCAGAGAAACAACCAATATGACACACTTGAGAATGTTTCATATGAGATGCAAGTTGCGGTCTCAAATATTGCACAAAAATCTTACCTGTTTGTCTGAAGTATTTATTAACTAAGATTTTTGTGCAATATTTGAGACCGCAGGGTGAGTATTTGACAAAATCATAAGCAATASGAAGTAGGGGCCGATAAGAAGCCTGGGCAGATCCTAACACCAGCCGTCACTTTCAGTCCCCACTGCAACTCAGAAAGATTGCACCACCGAAGAGCAGGGGCTCGAGGAGCAGGTGAGAAGCGCGGGGATTCCCTGGGGCAATAATGGGAGGGATGAGCGCAGGCTCCAGCTCAGCGCCCWGGGATGCCCTGGGCTCCAACCAGAGGCTTCCAAAGGCTCCGCTGCTCCCGGCTCGTCCCGCGGGCCGCGTTCAGCACCGCGGACAGCGAGTCCCGCTCCGCGGGCCGGGGCTCCCGCTGCGCGCCCGGCCCCGGCTCCGGGCTCCCCGATCCCTGGGCCCGGCTGCTCCCGACCCGCTCGGGGGAGAGCTGCGTCCGCGCTGCTCACACGGACTCAAGGAGGTGGCCGGATTCCCCGCATCCATGGAGGAATGAGGAGTCGGATGCCTCGGCAGAAGAAATCGCCCTCCTGGCCTGTCTGCTTTTTGCAGTGCAAAATCTTGCACAGTCCAATTATTTAATCAGGGTTCCCTTGCTTAAGCTGAAGTCTGCTCAGAAGAACCACTTAAATCTGCACGTTAGAACTGATTTAGAGATAGAACTCTACATTGTAGCTTAGCCTAGCACTGGTTTTTGATTTAAAATTATTACAGGTGATCCTATCGCTCGTTATCTCAGGAAAAAAATCACCTAGCTCCTCATCACTGAAAGTCCTAACATCCTTTTGCCACTGTTATAAATGGCACCCGGTCATTAACCAAGCTAGTTAAGCTGCTCACCAATTTGCTAGTCACCTGGCCAAGCAGAAAACCAGCCTGCTACTCAGGCAACCAGACTACTGCATTTTACATTTTCAAATAACCCTTAGCAAGTGGGAGCTATTGAATGTCTGTAACACCTCACAAGCCACGAATGATCATTTCTGTTTTACAACTAGGGAAACTGAGGCAGAGAGTTTTGTCCAAGGCTATGAAACCCAGTGAGGCACCAAGAAGAAATTCCCAGTTTTCAGTGCTGTATTTGCTCCTTTCCCTGTGAAAGGTCCAAATGATGCTTTACCCATATAATGAAGCTACCAGTAATACTGATTCATTAACTAAACCATCAGGCAGCCTAACAATTAGTCAATTAATTCACCACTACTCAAAGGTTCCACCTAGCCCTGTACACTAGCAGGAAAGTTGGATGGAGGAATCCAAGTAGGGAACGGGGCAGCACAGTTTTACCAAACACTCGACCCTGGCCAAGCGACAGCGAGATAGGGAATGATGATCAGGCTCTAGGGCCCAGCACTGCAGCTGATGGACACGGGACACACTCATAGGTGTCCAGAGCAGGAGAACATCTCCAGAAAAGGGAAGGGCTAGAAGGCCGGTTTTGCCTCTGTAAAAAAAGTAATCTGCCATTCTCTGTCACTGAGGGCTTGATTTGTCAGCTATCATCTAGGTTTAGCCCTTCCTTGTTTTAGTCCTGTTTTCCTACCAGGAGATAGAATTCCTATTTCATTCATAGTAGCAGAAGAACATGGAAAGGAGACAAGCAACAGAAAATGTGGCAAAGTAGGAAAGGTTGGACACCTGCACCCAGGTGGCTGGGGAACACCAAGGGCCCAGCAAGATGATTAGTACTCAACCCAACCACTGGGTTGGGAGGGAGCAGTAGTGAAAAAGGCTGGGCTGCATGAAAGCTTTCCTCTGTGGGTAAAGACTCCAGTGCAATGCACCAAAAAATAGTTTATGAAGGACGTAAGACTGTTTTTATCACTACTATGATTAACATGTGGGTTCCCAGGAAAAAAAAATGAGTCATATCTTCAAGACCACTCTATTAACTAGCCAGGAGCCTACAGATACCAGCTAGAAATCTGGAGGGTCTTTGCAGCATAGAGAGAAAAAAAGATAGCAGCTAAATTTATATCTAAAGGTACTTTAGCTTCTTACCAATGCCATCAAGAAGTCAGGGACTAATTAATACGAAGGATCACGAAAGAGGTTTCCAGCCCTGAAGAATGCCAGCAAAAAGCAGAACGTTGTAGTCATCTTTATGCAAATTTTTCATCAATATTTGAAGAATTTCAGTACAAAGTTCTCCCTGCTCATAAAAAAAATAAGTTAAATGGGCACTTGAAAAAACAGGCCACAGCAGCAGCCTTGCATAACAGGGCAGAGAATAGGATGCCATACTTATTCTGCTCCCTCCTCCTAAAAATCAGGGAGAAATCTTCCACCTGCTTGGTGCACACAGGCACTTTCTGCACATACTAACTTAACAAATTTTTTTTCCTTCCAAAACAAAATGTTTCCAAAGTTTTGATCGATCTCAGAGACACAGGCTCATAAATGATGCTGGAACTTGGCCTTAAGCAGTCACAACCCGCTGGCCAGGCTCTGTGATCCGCTTTAGCCTCTGTGATGTGCAGGCTGCGATGCCCCCGTGAAGACGGCGTCAACCAGCTCATGTTGCCTTCAGGCTGGGGCAGGCTGCGAGTGGGGCTCCTGAGCAGCTATGTGGGCTTAGCTAATGGGGGATAACTTCTTATACTGAGCTGCACTTGCAATAGTGACACCAAGTATTTGCTTTAGGCTTACCCCTCATGCTAATGCCATTAAAATGGTGTGGCTGAGCAGTTCCCAAAGGGATTATCACAAGCCTCCATTTGAGGAGCTCCTCAGCTGACGAATCCCCGCGCTGCAACTTGATCTGCAGGGTAGGTGTTGGGCCTACCCAGTGTCAAATAGGGTCACCACCACTTCCGAACTGCTTCTCCTTGGAGAAAATTTTCAGCCTGCTTTGCAAAAGACAGGGAGCAAAATATTAATATTGACCCTTCCCTGCCCTCTCCAGCCTGCAGGACGGCCAGGCAGCTTCCCAGGAAGCCCAGCAGCTTTCCTGGATCTCCCAGGCCCAGAGAGCTCTTTGTCCATCGTGCACCAGGAGCAGGCTAGCAAGGAGGCCGAGAACCATGAAGTGGCCTCCTGCAGCAGAAAAACCTGTGTGGGGATATGTGAAAAATAACCCTGACTTGCTAATCCTAGCTGTGAGCAAACAATTAGCAGGAAGCAGAGGCAAACAGGAAAGCTGATTTAATTATGTGACACTGATACAGCCAGTGAACTGGAGGGGAGGGGAGGGGGGAGCCGGGGATGTGGGGTCAAAACAGTTTGTAAAAATCTGTTTCACAAAAGCTGTTGTTCCCCTCGGGGCAGAGAGAGATTACCGTGGCTCAGTGTCTATCAAACACGGGAAGAGAATAGGGCCAGGGGCAATGAGACAGCTTCCGAGTATGAAGGGCCCTTCTTCTTCTCCGCAGCAACCAGCAGCTTGCCAAAGAATTCCTGTAAGCCCTCGGCCGCTTTGTGTGGCTGCTCTGGCTGTGCGGAGCGCTGCAGCAGGCCTGCCTTTTGTCGGCAGGGCTCAAAGGGAGCAGGGGAGAGAAAAGGGGACCCGGGGGGAGGAAGAGGGCTTAAGGGGGCTTGTTGTTATCAAAGCCGCAGAGGTTATTGTGCCAGAGCAGAATCACGCTGCTTCTGAGCCCCTTGAATGTGGCTGTTCATGGAGGCGCCGCGGGGAGACCGAGGGTGGGATTTGCTCCGTGCAGCCTCTCCGGGGTCTCCCCTGCGTGCAGCTCGTGCGCTGACACCCCCGGGCTCGGGGCAGGCGGGCGGCCCAGCACCCTCCTCTGCCACACGCAYGCGCATCCAGAGGTGCCTGCCAAGGGGCCCCGCACACAAACACCCCCAAAGCACCTGCTAGACACATTCACACGTGCACAGGCAAACACACATGCTCACACACACAGCCCCAGTGACCATTCGTGGATCAATGCGCACCTGCCCAGACCTGCCACAATATCATCCCATTGCTGAAGGCATCTACAGCTGGACCTGGATACAGCTGATGGCACATATGCCTACCCCAACATCTGTGTGTAAGTCCTGCCACAGAAACAGACACAACTGTGAACACACATGTGTAAATCCATTGTGGAAGTATTTAAGGATACCTGGTCTAGCATGCACACATGACATGCCCACCTCTTACTTCAGCCCTTCATTTATCTCGAGGAAGTCCYGAGTCTCAATCTCACACACCACAACCACATCATAAGAGTCAGCAGGACTACTTCTATATCACAGGAAAGAACCTGAAGGCCCTGGGGAAGTGAAGCCTCAAGAAACAACTTGCAAGTGGGGATCAGATGTTAACAGCCTTGCAGATATCAAGCCTGATACTGAAATTGGGCCGTGTCATAGGTCAATGAATCAGAGTGAAGGGAAGCAGGATGTTAGAGCCGACRCCAGTTCAAACTCCAGCCTGACCTGGGTCTGGAGAAAGAGTATTAAATGGACCTGATATATGAGTTCCAACCTGATATATGAGTTCCACGGAGTGCAAGGGGTCCAATCTTCTATGTCATGGAAGCCTCCAGACTTAAACCACAGAAGACATTTCTAACACGGAGCAGAGCCTCTCCCTTGCTATTCCCCATAAACTTGTATAGGGGAAATACCAACCAAAGACCTTCATGGAAAAGCCTAGAGGCTTTTGGAAAGTCAGAGGCCTGGCATTCATCTTCTTTAAAACTTGAAATAACTGGAAAAAATTATCCTTTTCTTTTCTCCCCTAGACCAGGGAATTGTCTTCATGTCAACCAGCTTGGCAGCAGGTCTGCTCCAAATCCACATCTACCCAAGCTCTGCTCAAGCGAGCCTTCACCCCGCAGCAGGAGGGCGGAGAGCTGGTCCATCATGAGCCAAACGCTGTCCCATCAGCGGGACACACGGTGCTCCAGGTGCCCCGGTGTGAGGGACATCCCGCCCTCCACGTGGCGCCGGTTCCTGCACCAGCGTGACGCACCCTTGCAGAAACACCCACGCGAGCTCACACGCACCCCAGGCCTCATCCCTTCCCCGCAGCCACCTCAAGCACCGGCAGCCCGGGGAGGCAGCCAGGGAGCAGAGGGACCCCGAGAGGGGCAGGGGCCTCCGCCAACCCCGGCAGCAAAGTGGGGGGGCCGCGGCRGCGGGGGAGGCCGCGGCAGCAAGGCAGGGAGGGCTCCTCATTGTGAGGGAAATTTTATTTTTAACAGATGCTAAGGCAGATGGCACAGAATTAACAGAAAATGGGAGAGGAAAAAAGAGGAAGAACATTACTGGCTCCAGAGAGAGTGGACATTAAAAAAATAAAGAATAAGGGAATGAAAACAAGTTTAAGTACTCTCTCCAGAGGAGGGGGGGAGGGAAAGCGCGAGGCAGAGCAGGGACGAAGCAGCGTGATAATAACCAAAGGCGTGAAATTGCAAAAGTAAAATTTGTGGCACTCGGGAGGGGCTGATAAGGCCCCAGCTTCATTGCAAAACTCACTCAGAAATTACTGATGTGATGTTTTAGCCTTTATCATTAATAATAATTGAGAGTGGGGAGAGGGATGGGGGTGCCTGAAACAAAGAGGGAGAGCGTGTGAGCATCTGAGACCTGGGAAGGGAAGAGGTGGGAGCTCAGAGACAGCGGGAGAAGAGGGGCAGGGGTAGAAAAGAGGGCATTGGTGAGGGAGACAGGGAATAGGGAAGGCTGGGAAAGGAAGAGGGGCAAACGCCAGCCAAGAAAACAGAAGGAAAGAAACCAAGAAGGAAGGTTAAAAAAGATGCAAACAAAGGGGAAGGCAAGACACAAACAGAAGTTGGGGAAGAAAATGGCAAAAAGTGAGAGTTAGGGGGAAAAGGTGGGARGAGAGCGATACATGGCAAACGAATGGAGAAACGATGGCACAGATGAAAGAGTGGGAGAAGACAGACTGCAGGACAGGGAGTAAGAGAGAGGGAGACAAAGAGATATGGCCCTTCCACTCTCCTCCCAAATTAATTGAGGCTACATCAACCCAAGCCACTAAAACGGAGCTATTATGAATGGGTTAGTCACAGGTGGAGTTAAAGGCCTACAGAGGGATATTAGCCAAAATTGAGTGGCTTTTAATTTCTTTCTAACAAGAGATTGTGGCTGGGGAGCCAGGCAGCGCCTCGGCRTAGCTAGACCCGAAGGCAGCTAAAGCCGGGAGCTTCGGGAGCCGCGCGCAAGCCGGAGGCACCGCCGAGTCCTGCTGCTCCCGGGGGAGACGGGGGTCTGCAGAGCCGGGAAGCGGGGCTGGCAGGGCCCCCAGACCACGCTCCTCTTCTCCCCAGGAGATGCAGGACTCAGTTTTGCAGCCCCTCACTGCAGCAGGAGGGTGTGCRGTGCCCTTTAGGACAGTGCTTTCCCTGGGAGAAAGCTCCCCCTGGAAGCAGCCGGCTCATCCGCCTCCTGGAGAGACCAGGGAGCTTCGACACAAGACCAGGACATCTGGGTTCTATTTCTGGCTCTGCTGCTGGCAATTCACCACATTTCTCTGTTTCCCCATCTGCTATCTGGGAATAATGCAGTATTGTTAAAAACAAGCATTTAAAAATGATGAATCAGATCATATCCTCCTTTTCAAAATCATAAGATTAGTTTAAATAAAATCTTGAGACTTTTAGAAGGATAAGGGGCACAAGCAGGAGGATTCACTTGCCTTCAGAGACTTTAGTCTGTGGGGCTCCTGTTTGCAAGTTTTTTCTCTACAGCTGCAAGATCTGGAAACAGGTTTCTTCTCCTGACTTGAAAGCTCACAGATCATCTGGACACAGGATTCTGGAATGGTGTGGTGGAAAAAAAAAATTCAAAGGTGAAAAAAGTAATGTGAATGTTTTTCCATTAAGTAATGTGAATGTTTTTTCCATTAGATCCATGCGCAAGTTTTCTGTGACAGCCTCTTACTTCCCAAAGCGTCAATTTATTAAAGCCAAAAGGAGGAGGTCAGTTTTAACAGCTCTCTCTCCTTGAAGCAACTGTGGAGAGAAAAAGAAAAGAACCCCCTAAACTKGCAGAATCACGACAACATCCAGTTTTAACATTTTCTAAATAAAAACATTTGCTTTATGATTGAAAATGAGTTCTCATTTTTAAGTTCAAAACCATTTAGGTTTAAAAAGGAATTTAAGATGTTGCACTGGGAATAAAATATTTTGTCTGTTCTGATTCAAAATTTTGGGGCTGGGCTATGGAAAGTAGGAGATTGGATCAGGATTAGAATCAAATTATTCCTTTGCAAAAGCATTATGCATTTTGACATGTTATCCCAATGTGGAACAAGAATAATTGCACTTCACAAACTCTTGTAGAAGAAAAAAAGACCATTTCCTGCCTGGATCCAATTTCCATCTATACGAGACATTTTAAGAACTGCAGATAGTATGTGCTAAGTGTTCTTAATTTATGTACTTATTTCATCTCATTACCCATATGGCCCAGCCTAAATAATTCCCCCTCTCTCATCTCATTGCTGTTCACATACTCACACATCTTGCTCTTCTCCAACCTGAACCCAGACCTGTGATGGTTGGTGGAAATCACTGAGGAGTAGATGTGCTTTCAGGTGAAAGACACAAACCAGATGAGCTGGAAAGCACATGTGATCTGAGCCACTAACCCCACTTTTGCAGAGTACATCTGAAGACCACAGCCACATGCAGCGCTTCTGCAAACCASGGTGAACTTGCACAACAGGGACATGGAAGCTCATGTGTATGATTATATCATGTATGCATGACTGTACATGTGGTGCTGCTTGTGCAACATGCATTATACATGTGCTAATTCATAACAGCCCCACAGAAGCTGCTCTTGATGCATGYAATAACATGTGAAATATGTTAACAACAGCCACGTCTAATGAGCAGGATTCACCTCGGAAAAATCACCTGCTAACTCATTTGAGAACTGAAACTTGAGATGAGCAGTCTTACCAGTGAGGTAAATGTGTCACTTGTCTGGATCTTGTTGACACTTGCATGGAGAAACTATATCCTTCCGAATRGAAAAGCCTGCAGAGGGAGGACACAGTGTTCATGGGGGAACATCACGCTTTGCTGATGGCAAAGAACAGCAAGGAGTCAGGGCTCCCGGGCTCCAGCTCATCTTCATCTCCTTGCCTCCTGCTCTAAAAGGAAACAAGAGCAGCAGCCAGGTGCATTTGGATTGTTTGAAAACAGCCTCCAACTGTCTTTCAAAGACACAGGAAAAAGGCCACGCACATTCTCAAATAAACTCAACCAGGAGAGGCTGGCAGTGCTGGAAACCAGCTTGTCCATCCTCTGTGCCTCTTCCACCTCTCCAGTACAACAGCCTCTTACCTGCCCATCAGGGGAACAGTCCCACAGCACAAAGCTTGGCCTCAAGAAAGGTTTCTTTTACTCTCCTACTGGAATGAGAGTACTGCTAAGAACATCCTTACAATGAACGGATAAACAATATCCTAAGCCAGAACAAGCCAGAGATGGAGGGAAGCCGGCAAAGGGATCAGAGCACGTGGCAAGGGCACAATTAGCATAGAGGAGGGAGAGGAGGGAGGCAGGGCCCAGAAACCAAGCACAGATAATGCCAGCATATCTGCCCAATGAAACACCCCACGTTTTGCTCAGACAAAAGCCCTGAAAAATGCCTCTAGGCTAAGGGCTATTTCCTCTCTGAGGACTGGTGCAGGTTAAGCCCACGTGCAGGTTTTCCAGCTCGCCTATGCAGCAGCCCTAGCTGAGTGCCTATGTATTTGCTGTTGTAATTCCCTTCCTGCCCCTCCTGTCAACACAGAGCGARAGCCATTCCCTACCATCACGAGAACCTTTTTCAATAGGCCCCGTTCCCCCTGGGCTGCCAGCTGAGGCTGGTCCCTGGAGAGCTACACCCCTCTTAGAGTCTATTAAAGCTCAATTAACAGGGGCTCACTGGCCTCGTTGTCTGGCAAAGGGAGGCAGGAGGCTCCTCTCCCTTCCAGGGTCGGAGCTAGTTTACTAAGGCCCAGTCAGCTCATAGAAGTGTATCAATTTAATAAGAACAAATTAAGTAGAAGTGAAGGGCGGGGGGGAGGGAGAGGAAGAGTCATAAGAAGAAGGCTCTGCAAGCCATGGGTGCTACTAGGCAATGACTGGCTTGTCGGGCCATGACAAAGGGCACACTGCTGATTTGCATTGCAGATGCAATGGGAGCATTTTGATTTACACCAACAGAGCACCCTGCCCTCCCAGCAAGGGCCACCCCTTCCTATCAACATCTTCCCATGGCASCCTAGCACAACATCTTACCTGCCCACAGACCCCAAAACCCATTCCTACACACTCCATTTCCATCCTGCCACTGCGCCGCTCCCCACGAGGTGTTGCATCTCCAGCAGTCAAGTCTCAGCCTTCCCTGCACTTCAGCAAAGAGCTGTCATCAACACCAATATAGAAGTTCCTATTAGGAACAAACAGCTTCCCTCCCACCTGCGCTTCCCTCCTTGGCTGCATCTTCTGGGGTCTGAGTCCATACATAGGATTACACAAATAGATCAGTCACACAGCTAGCAGTTGTTTCATTTGTTACACAGATTCCTTATGGGCAAGGAAAATGAGAGGCTGAAAAAAAATGTAGAAGCATTTGCTTCCTTCTTTGTCCCTTAAGGACCTTTGTTTTCCAAAGCTGCTTGYGTCAGCAAGGAACGTGGGGGTGAGAGAGAGGAGGAGACGTGGCTTGCTGAAGGTCTAAGCTTGGTTTTGCTGGTATCCATCACAGTCTTCAGGGCTGCGAATGCCACACAGGGCTCACGAGGCAAAGCTCAAAAGGCTGATATAGAGCATGGCCTGATAGAGGCCCTTCACCCGGCCTCTCCACAGCATGTCCAAGCACAGGAGTCGCTGGCCAGGCCCCTCCGCAGGGCTCCCTGCCTCCCCGGGAACGCCCACCAGGAGCAAGGGAACCTAAGGAAGGAAGCTCATCACACACAAACCATTCACAGGCACCACAGAATACACATTCAGCCCAGAAAGGTCCACAGAACAGCCCCTTTTCACATCGTAAATGACCACCCTTCCCTGGGAGGCACTTCAGGCCCCCGGTACTAGGCACATCCACCACACTGCAGCTCAGGAAGAGAACAGGCCCTGCTCAAGTCAGTCCTATTTGCTTTTCTGGGAGAACTCATCCGTGCAAACGCTCTCTAACCATCCTCTTCCTCAATCCCCCTCTCTAGTTGTTACTGTTGTGAGTGGGATCAAACACACGAATATCCCCGTTTCTCCAGCCCGCTCACACAGACCCACCAGGCATCWTCTAGGCTGCAGGACCAGTGCTGTCCTTGCGCAGCCAGGAGATAAGAGCTCTCCTGGGCACGGAGGTGAGGCTGCTGAGGAAACACTTCAAACCCACAGCCTTTTCATTTGCCTTGAATTATTGGAGCGCACAGGGCAGCCTGGGGCTGGCTATTTTCAGAGGGCAGACAGGAAGCGTGTCCTCTGCTGCCAGCTGTGCCAAGCCGCCTGCCTTCTGCCAGCGCTCCAAAAAAGTCCTGTGCTCCTTTGCATCACTTTTTGGGACTCTCTGAACAACTTGTCTGTTTTCCAGCTGACAGCAGGGAGGACCAGCAGGAATGGGTACATTCACATTCCCACCAAATCTGCCTCTACAAACGGGACAGAGAACATGAGGTCATYAGATCTGGTAGTGAAAGCCGGGGCTGCATGGAACTGGCTGCTGAGGGAACAGGAAGGGGTCAGGGTCTCTACAGAGCTGACACAGCCCCATCCACCAGCCTGGGCACCAGGGAAGCRGGTGACATCTGTCCAACAGACACCGATTCCCCTAGAGATCATGTCTCCAGGGCACAACGTTTTCCAAGGCAGCCCAATATGGGTCAAGCTTCCTTCAAGGAAACAGTTTCAGAAGATGCTACATGACCAGATCCAAGTAGAAAATCCGGATGCTTTGTGCCCTGCAGTTTGGCCAGACGGTGACCTCCAAAGGTGCTGGCATCCCTTGCTTCTTGGCACCACTGCTGTCTCCTGGGCACAGTACCCTACCTTCCCGGCACACACAGCCCTGAGGCCTGAGCTATGCACAAAAAAACAACAGCRTCCTCCCAATTCCCTTAAACCTTGGCAAAAATTGGGTGCTAGCTCTGGATGCCAAAACCACCGTATTTCCCTAGCTTTATCCTGAGCTTTGACACCTGCTCTCTGAGCCCAGGCTCACCTGCTTTATCCAAGAGGAATTTTATTGGGATGCTGATTCAAGGAGAGCTGAACCTTCATTTAAGGAGTCTTGGCTTTGTGCCAACCCTGGTTTAAAATCTTCAGAGTCTGAGGTGAACGTGTTCTTGCTGGGAGAAAATAAGAGAAAGGCCCAGAACGGAGTGCCAAGGAACAAACCCAGCTCGCTGCCCGCTGCCCTGGGCAGTTCTACGGAGGCAACATGCAGCAGGAGAGCCGCCCATTTTTGGGCAGCCCCATACTTGGTGTAACACAACCCCGCTGAAGAGAACCCCTCACTTGACAGGAGGGTAGAGCAGTGCCCAGGAGAAGCTCGGAGCTTTAGCCAATGACCCACAGTCCATGCAGGCATCCCCAGCTGCCAGCGCAAGGGGCCCCTGAGGGAGGATGCCCAGGGCACCAAGCCCATGCTGCTCGGTGCATTGCATGTGCTCAAACCCCAGGGCAGGTATAAAGCAAAACGCCTGCCCCAAGGCACAGAACAGATTGGCAGGGACAGGAATGAGGCAAGTGGATCCCAGTAAGTCAATGGAAAAGCCAAGAATGGAATATTGGTCTCATTCCCTCTGTGCCACCCTGCTGAGCCAGCAGGGCCCGACACCACAAAGCACCGTTTCCAGGCTGACCTGGCACTGGCAAGTCAGGCATCTAATCTACAGTTGACTGAAACGGCAGCTCAGGGCATTCGCTAGGAACCACCGGGTGCTCTGCTCCCAGAAGAAGCCCTTTCCTAGAAAACCGAGGAAAAATATCCTTCTTTCCCTGCCCCCATGGCCAGGCATCTCTGGAGCTTTACACCCAAAGGACCACAGACACAGTGGGGACACACACAGAAGGGGGAGGATAAATAGGGAAAAAAAAAAAAAAAAAGAAAAAAAAAGATGGAAGGGAGGCAGCAAAAGGCAGCAGAAAAAGGGGAAAAAAAGAAAAAAGGAGTGGGAAGGGAGAAAGTGAGAAAAAGAGAGAGAGAGAGAGAGAGAGAGAAAAATGACAGGAGCTGAATTTTCGGCGCCCTCACTTTAAATCAAGATAAAAGACTGAAATGGAAAATAACAGTCCAGAGAAACCCCTGGACGGCTTTGGGCGTTAATGGAAACACATGGCTGAAGGCTGTAGTGTTGTCAGCTTCCCCGTGCTCTGACATTCCTTTCTGATAATCCGGCCTGCCATAAAATTAGAATAGCAAATACCTCCTGACAAAGATGCATGTTTCCCTCTATTGTGCCATCATAAAAAAAACTCCGCTGGTGACTCGAGGAGCCGCAAACTTCAATTTAAATTTACAGTGCGGCGGAAGGAAAGTGATATGCACTCAAAAATTTTAATAACCTATTAAGTTACGACTTCAATTTCATTTTATGAATATTTTCCTTGGGGAGCAGTGCTATCACAGAGAAAGATAGAAATTTAAAAAAGATAAATAGTGCCATTAATCTCCAACATTTCTCTTCCATTATCCTTGAAAATTAGGAGTTATTTTTGTTCAGATCTTCATGTAATTAGCTCCCTACACTTGATTCACTAGCCAGAAAATGACCATGTTCAGAAAATTAAAAATTTGTCATTAAGTGGAATTTAACATAATATCATTTATCTTTATCTATTCCCCAGCTGACAGCAGGAGCCTTGGAAGTGATACAGGCTTCTGTGTCAGAGAGTAGAGGCAAGTCCTCGACATGAGAGGGAGAGCGCGGGAGTGTGCGGGGGGGAAGGCTGTAAGGATGTGGGAGGGTAGAGGGAGACCAGGAGTATGCGAGACAAAAAAGGAAGTAAGAGCTGGAGTCCTGGGAAGAGGGGGAGAAAAG